GGATTAATCTCCGATTTCAAAAGCCTGTAAAATCATGTAACAATATTAGTTCAGAAGCTCTTGCAAACCATTTATTCGTACATACATCAACATTTTTCTTCAAATGAATGGGGAAGTGAGAGACTGTATAATTAGATCTAGGAAGAAGAAAATGCAGGGAGCTGAAATCTCATCCTATCACTCCTCCCTCTTAGAGAGGGGGATTAATCTCCGATTTCAAAAGCCTGTAAAATCATGTAACAATATTAGTTCAGAAGCTCTTGCAAACCATTTATTCGTACATACATCAACATTTTTCTTCAAATGAATGGGGAAGTGAGAGACTGTATAATTAGATCTAGGAAGAAGAAAATGCAGGGAGCTGAAATCTCATCCATAATCCTCCGGCTGCCCCTGCCATGCTGCCCGTCCTCTTACCAGTGTCAGATCCAGAAGAGTCCCAGTACCACGCTGGAAGAGCCGTCCCGAGGGCTGAGCAGCAGCACGGTGGTGAAAGCAGCGGCCTGGATGGCGAGCAGGGGTGCAGCCACCCGTGGAAGAGCCATTTCCAGCTGCCTCATGCAGAAGATGCAGTTTGTTCATCGCCAGCGTCAGGACACCCTGTGCAAGTCTCGGTTGCTCTTATAGAAACTGCCCAACTGCAGCCACCCTCCATGCTTTGTTCAGCCCCCTAATTCCTAACATTTTGCAGCAGACCACTACCAACCCTCAAAAACTCATCAGAAAGCCACCACTGATCACTTCTTGAACACGCACAACGGCCTCACAGAACACCAGTGGTTCGCAGACGACAGATGGAGAACAACCTTCGGAAGGCACGCTGCAGCTTTCCATCTGATCCGCGGCCAGAGAAAGGGCTTCGCCTTCAAAGCCCAGCATCTTTTCCCCAACCTCTGCATACATCTGTAGCCTGCAATGGATACGTCCCAACGCCAACTGTTTGTCAGCTACGCTCAACCACAGCAATGAATTATGTGATTTCACTATTATTTTCATCACAACTTGGGAACACATCCCTGAAAAGCTATGGGAACGCTATGGGAAGGGGAATTTTTTTCCTAGGTCAGTAATTGTACTGTACACAGATACCGCCAGAACTTCACATCAGGCCATGACCAGCATATTGGGGAAACTCGTCAGGTTTCCCCAAATACGGCTGGTTTCCATCTCAGTCTCACAGTTGAGACTTTTCATCCCAATTTGCAGTTTTATTAAAGTATAACTTTGAAGTTGAAAAAGGACTCGTTTTCCCGCTATTTAATTATTTTACATGCATATCACAGGTATCAAGCTGTTTTCACATTCCTAATACTAAAGAAATTGCTCAAGATTACTGTAACAAAACGGACAAGTATGAAGTTTATACCAACAAGAAAAACTGAGAAGACTTACGGGAGGTAGTTATCAAAAGTAGTGTAAACACAGCCTTCTAAAAAAAGAAAACTCATTCTGCAAAGTATGCTTAACAAAGATCTACTCGATAAATCTCAAGGATGGTATCAACAGTACACAAGTGATGTTTTTAAGAGGATTATCTACAACATATCTGGGTATTTACACAGTCGAGGTCTCCAAGACCGGCCCCCCAGCTTCGCACTCTGGAAAAGGCAAAGCACTGCTCAGTTTAAAAGCACAAGGAAGAAAAAATAAGAGGAAAAGAGAGCTCTGTCCCTCCCTCCTGACATATGAAGCAGTTCCCGTATGCAGGCTGCAGCTAAGGTCACTGCTAAAAAAGCCAAAAAATACCGTAAACACAAAACTACTTCAAATCAGTATGCTAACCTGCAGGACAACTCCTTCACCTTTCTGCGGGCGATCCACTGCCACCCTCCAAAACCAGGCACCATGTATCCCAGCAGCTTCCTCTCCTGCTAAACCTGGCCCCTTCATCATCATGAGATTGTCCAAGAGTCATCTGTGTAGTCCTTGCTCTGAAGAGCTCTAAATTCAGCAAGTAGAAGTTAAGGAAAAGCAACGTTGTCCCTTCCTCCCCCTGGTTAAAGATGCAGGAATGTTCTGAAGCCAGAGAAAGCGCCAGCAGCATTACCCGACAGGTTATTCTATTCCTGCGCAAGGTGTGGGTTGTGGGGGTTTTGTCTTGTTTTACTTTTGCAAGCAACTAAAATTCAGAAGCACCAATTATGGGTGATAAGATTTTTGAAAAGAGAAAATGTTTCCCTTCTTTAAATTAATCCTTAATTTATGCAAAAAGCAGAGAGAAGTCACTTTCCTAAAAAAAACACCTTGCCAACGACTGAACTCCGTTCTACTCAACCCAATTCACTCCTAAAACGGTTTCATAAAAATGCTCTAAACATTGTGATTTTGTACTTGAGATGCTTCTACAGAACAGAGCACGTGGAGGACCTGGGTACTGCACATCCCCCTCTCACCCCTTTATATCAGAGAACAACAACTAACAGGGATCAAACTTCTCCTTCACTTGGTTCATGGCAAAGAGAAAACATTTTGGTTTTCTACAAGTACACCGCAATGATGTTATCTTCACTAGAAACATAGTTCTGGGGATAAACACTCATCTTCCACTGAAGTTTATTCATCATGGGGACTACAAATCAGTCGCTTTACCATAACCAGGATGCGATAAGGTTTTAAACAGAATATCCTAGAACACAATTAAGCAATTTTTTCCTCAAGCTGTTTTTCAACACCATTATTTCAGACATGCCTGAGACTTGGAACAACACCCCACAAACCCACATATAACTCCTTTTTTCCAGAGAAATACTCAGTATTACCACTCCTTTCTTCTCTCAGAAGGATCTGCAGCAAACTCCTAAAGGCAATAATGATAAAAACCAGACACGACAATGGTTTGGCCAAGCAGGGAACTCCCTCAACATGACAGCAGCTTTTACCAGCCACTTCAAAAACCCACCAGGATACACAGCTCAAGGCAGGCATCACACTGGAAAGCCAGCTGATGAGCCACTTCCAAGACCTATGAGATTTGCTCGTGCTTAGAAACATGCCGAAACATCTTTCTGCTTTTTGCCTAACACCGTGGTTGCAGGTTTTTATTATTGTTCCGCAAATCAAAATGTAAGGCAGACATTTCCAGCCCATGTACACACTGCAGGGCTGAAAAGATTTCTCCAAAATTTAGCAGGAACTGAATAAATGTAGGGTCTTGAGTGACAAGTACCGGGGGGACCACTTCCCAGAGGCAATGCTGCTTCTTGTACAAGGGCATTTTTTCATTCCCAGTCGGCCCTATCCTTTGCCCACCATGTGCACAACCAGCCTGAGCTTTCCAGCATGAGACAGGCGTTCCCACGGCTCAAATGCTGGCACGAGTCATTCAACAAAGAGACGTCGCTGCCAATCTCACATCCCACCCACTTAGCATGAGCACAGCTCCACGGTGATGGCCAAGCTGCTTTTATTAGTTCTGTAGGCATACAGGTGAGCTATTAAAAATACTAAAAACAGAGTCCAAACAGTAAGAATTCCATAAATCTTGTATGAGTCCATAACAGCTTAAAAAAAGCCTCCTTTCACCCGGAGAATAATAGACACCGAATTCTACCATCAGCTTACCTGAGCTGTTAACCAGCATCAGCTTTTGTCCTGAAATAGCTCGACAGGAAATGTTAAACATAACAAGCAACAACGAAATCAATTCCAAAAACAAAAAAAAGAAAAAAAGAGAGTAAGAGACTAAAATCCATCACACTCACAATACTGGCCATTGATCTACTGGCAGAAAAGAGGACTGTGCCTCCTCTTGTGCAGAGCCACAAAACTCAATCTAGTGCATGGATACAAAATGGAGAGTAAAGCCTTAAAGCTGACCTGTGTTACCATGGTAGTCTTAAAATAAGAATCTCTCTCAGGGTTAGGAAAATATTACCTCCCCTACCTGACGGACAAGTTTTGGAGCACATGGAGGGAAGAGAGATTTCTCAGAATCCAAAGCCAAACACTCATACCCGGTAAATGAGGATCTCTTCCTTTCTTTCCAAGACAATAGCCCTACCTCCTTAAAAGTTTCCTTCCCCAGATATGCATTTAAGTCCACTAAAATCTAGGTTAAGTCACAGCCCATTTTTTCCCCCCTTAATCTACTGAAGTTGTTTTGAATAAGCTTCATTTACATTTTTCCAGCTTGCATTACCAGAAGCGCTTAGATCTTTTTGCGAGATCTCTTCCTTAATATAAAAGGACCTAAAGGCATTTTGGAAGGCAGCAGAGAAGGGAAAGTTTGCTTTTTGGAAAACTCGAGCTCCTACCAGGAAAGTAGATAATGTTTAATATATCCTCTCATCCCTAGTATAAATATCTCTATCTTTTTGCACCTGGAAATAAAACACTTTTGGAAGAGAGAAGGGGGGAAACACAAAAGACAGCAGCAGATTGCTTTCCGTAGCATTTCATGTATTGTGACCAAAACTTTGGTTTGCACCACTTTTGGCGCTGCAGCTGTCAGCCGTAAGATCTCTCAGCTGCACGAGGAGCAGCCAGTCTCCAGGATGAACGCTGTGACTGCTCTGCTTGCTTCACACCACAAGGACAAGACCCAAGAGACACCGCGGCAGGATCACGAGAAGAGGGCAGAAAAGCAAAGCAGGCTTTCATCAGCCTGCGTTTGCAACACAAGGAGACTGCTCCTTCATGGGAGCAGCAACTCTAAAACCTACTTTGCTTCTCAGTGCTCCTTTTAGGCTGTGAAGACTTGTAAGGTGCTGCTTTGTTCTGCTCTCCTAAGGAAAAACAAGCAGCTCTGACCAGGTTAGGCTCTCCTGCCAAGGGTGAGGGCTGAGCTATTTAAGACTTCCAAGGCTGCTGTGCTGCACAACCTCCCTCCGCTCCCAAATCCCACTCGCTCAGCCTGGGAAAGTAGATTTGTGCAAGTTCTAACACACTTGGTTCCAGCATTTTACATTTGCATTTTGCTCTCCCACTTGCAAGATAGAGCTGCAGAATATTTTAGTGCATTCCCAGAATAGGAGCAACATTTAATAAAAGTTTCTTCTTACCAGAGCTAGGCATGTGGTTCACTCTAGGTGGATTCAACAGCTCGACTGGCTGGTCTCTGCCAGAAAGCCCATCTGGAAAGAGAAAAAAAATAAAAATATCACATCAACTCTTTGGTTAGCTATTTGAGACATTCCAAGCAGAAATTAAAAAACAAAAATTACTAAACAATTATTAATCATAGAACGGTTTGGGTTGGAAAGGACCTTAAATCCCATCCAGTTCCACCCCCCTGCCATGGGCAGGGACACCTCCCACCAGCCCAGGTTGCTCAAAGCCTCATCCAGCCTGGCCTTGAACCCCTCCAGGGATGGGGCATCCACAGCTTCTCTGGGCAACCTGGGCCACTGCCTCACCACCCGCACAGGAAAAAATTTCTTCCTAATATCTAATCTAAACCTACCCTCTTTCAGCTTAAAACCGTTACCCCTTGTCCTACCACTCTACCCCCGATCCAGAGCCCCCCCATCTCTCCTGTAGCCCCCTTTCAGCACTGGAAGGTGCTGGAAGGTCTCCCCGGAGCCTTCTCTTCTCCAGGCTGCACACCCCCAACTCTCTCAGCCCGTCCCCTTGTTCAGGAGGTGTTCCAGCTGCTCATGTAAAACAGAAACACACAGGTAGCACAGATCAGTGGAAATAAGAACATTAAAAGGACAGCTGCATAACAACCGCTTACACTAAAACATGAAATAAAAGATGCCGTAGCCCGAATTGCACTCAGGTTTTCCTGGTCTCTAAATACACAACTGGTACCAATATCAATCCAAAGAAATAGGCATATCAGCTTATAAACCTTACCATACCGTAACTAAATTGCAATTCATTCCTTGCTCGGAGAACTGCGGGAGTTAGGACAGAAACGCAGCCCTGCGAAGCGAAGTTGCAGAATGGCTGTAATATGCCAGGGAGATGTTAAGGAAAACTGACAAATCACTGCAGGAGATTAAAATGCAGAGACATGCACAACAAGCCCCATTTTGCATAAGTTTGGATTTCAGAAAGGCATTAAAAACATACTTTGTAAATGATATGCAGAAATCTATCTTGCTGAAGCAGTTCTCTGTTTAAAATATTTCAAAGATTGTATCTTGCATTCAGGTAAAGTTAAAACAGCAGCACACAATTCCTACTGCTCTAGACTGCCAGACCTGATTTTCTAGCCCCCCATCCCCCTCCCATCTGCCCCCTCTAATAAAAGCTGAAGCAAAAAAATGCTAAATTATTTTTTCAGGAATACTTGAATACAGAAAACTAATCCCAAACCCATTTGCTCCACTGTAACTATCTCCAGCTTCACCAGTTCTGTCTCCCTGGTTCTCTTCTAACACCTTTCTGCTCCCTGGGCACAGATAGGATCAAGCCAAACCCTGTCTGCAGACATCAAAGAAGCCACCCCATCTCTCTCAAAGACACTGTTATAAAAACGTTAAGATGTCAGTGGAATGTTAAAAAACACACAAAATAATTTTAAAAAAATCATTTTTTTTCTTCTCCTTACTTTCTCCATTCCAGGTTTCTGGAGAGCAAGCGCAGTTGGGTCTTCTCCATCGCTCACATGGGTTTGCCTCCAGCGACCATACCCAAGGATGACCGCAGCCCCAGGCAGTAAGTCAATAAATTAAACTATAACCATGCTGAGGTCTCCTTCTCGAGCAAGTAATATAGATTATCCACATTATAAATTTATTTTTTTTTTTGCTTTTGGTTTTAGAGCCAAGAGACCGCCTGGGCTTGCTGTACTGGAGCAGCCAACTCACGGTGCTGGTGGGATGACACTGGGCCAGCTGAGCTTCACCAGCACAAGGAGCAGCAAACGGCAATAAATGAGGAGGGAACTGGATTGAAGGGGTCGAGTGAAACATCACTATTTTAAATAACAGCCAGCCATCAGCCTCTCCAGATTTACAACCCAGTGGCTACCGCAGATCAAAGAGCAAAAAAATATGACCCTCCCCGGCTGCTAAAGGGGTTTACAGCCTTGTTGTTTCTACACAACAGGCATTTGCTATATCAGCCCTTAGTTGTGATTTCTGAACCCCCTGGCAAACTGCACCCCTACTTGCTGCTGAAGCCTTCCCTATGTTTCTGTGCTGAACACACCAGCATCAAACCAGGGACCCTGAGCAGCTCCCAGAACTCATCCCTTCACCCTGCCAGCAGCTTAAAAGAAAAAAAAAAAATAAAAAAAAATATATATGTATATATCACTCTGCTGGGTTCTCCTAGCAACGAAGCAGCAGGTCTCCCGGCGGCACGGCACGCGTACCCGCTCTGACACATGCTGTGGCTCCGCGGGGGGGAAGTTTTTGCAAAGGGAGCAGGCAGCGGGGAGAGGCGAGTACAGCCCCGGGAGCTCCTGCGTTCTCCTGGGGAGCGGAGCATTCCCAGCTTCTCCGCTGAGCTATCTCAGATGAAGATGTGCCTTCAGAGAAGGACCCACCTACAAAACAGAGCCTTGGACCAGCAGCCCAGGGGCTCTGGGAGCCAAACCTGGGTTGATTTTGATAAAAACCAAACATTTTCAGCGAGGCCGTTGGAGGGAAGGTGCTCTTTCTCATGCTAAATCCAGCAGACTTGAACAAGTGAGGTATTGAACCCGCACCTCCAGTGACACAAAGCTGCTGGCAGAGAACAAGAGCCCACCCATTTCTAGGGTGACTCTGCAGCACCAGCTATTTCGGCAGGCTCACCCTGCTGCCCAGACACCACGGACGGCACCCAAAACCAGCCAAACCGAAAGACCTTTTATTTTGTTTCCTGCAGACTTCCTCCCCACTGTTGGGAATTTTCAGTCTCACCAGTGCGTCAGAGATCACTAACAAAAATGCTGGTTAGTGGGGACTTTTAAGGATTTTTTTTTTTTTTCCCAATTCTAAGAAATAAAGGACCTACATTTTTCAACTAATTTAAAAGAAAACACAAAGCAACACTCTTTAATCTTTGTTTCAAAATGAGTAATGGGCTAATCACAGAAGAACGTTGAAGAATATCTTTTACAGCACTGACACCTTCAACACTGGCAGTGAAACCAAACTACGTAAGACCGCGGTTCTGGATTTGCTGTATTCAGTGATTTAAAAAATAAATCTCAATTTGTGAAAAAAAAAAAAAGAAGGTACTAATATTGATTTTAAAAGGTTAAAATAAGACGTACCCACATAAGTTGGCACATTGCTTGTCTCCTCCTGAGGGGTAAGCTGTCCCACCCCCAGCACACTAAATGCATGTACCTGGCACTTACAACAAAGCAAAATACCGTATTTTTTTTTCATAAAACCCTTTGGGCTGGTATGTCCAGACCATCATCATTTTACCCTACTTGCTCCTGGTAACCCACTCCCTTCTTTCCCACCCTCTGCACCCTCCTCTCTTGAGCAACTTGCAGACAGGTACCCCAAGGAGCCCTGCAGCGGGAACAAGCATCCCTGGCATCCCCACGGTTAATAAAATGCCGAGAAGCAAAGCAATGTTGAAGCCATTTCCATTTACCGGCTTTCTAGCATCTAGAGGAGTTTGGGGTGTTGTTTTGTTTTAATTGAGGTATCTGCAAACAAACACACGTTCTGCTCCATTGCTCCCCACGCTCACACCTTCTCTGTTACTACACAACACGAGCAGCAGTGAAAAACCCAGGACCTTGGAGATAGGGCAAGCTCATTTCATACAGCTGCTACGGCTCACTGCAGAAGGGGCATGTACTGAAAAGAAGCCCGTGCTCTGTAACAAGATTTTTCCAAGCTAGAACTCAAGTTTTGTCCTTTCCCAACAGCCAAAAACTCCTGCTCTGGCCCCCTCCGTCAATGCAGGCAGAGTCTGTCTGGTTTCAGACACCACTTGCTATCAAAATAGATTCCTCAAAATCACAGTCCTACACGGGGTCAGCTACTTGGGATGTGAACTCTTTTGCTCTAGATTGCGGTGGCTGCACAGCATTTGTGTTACTCAAAGCTGCAATAATTCATACCATCAATGAGCTGTACGTGACAAAAAACTGAGCATCTTAGACTCAAACCTTTGTCATATGTGCAGGCTTAGCTTGGCTTTTGAGCTCTGAAACAAAGCAAAAAAAAAAAAATCAGAATACATCACCTCACCTCTTGAAGCAGTCAAACATTCCTGTTGTCTCCCCAGCCTTCTGCAATAAGATGCTACAAGCAGCAAAGAAATCTTTTCAAGACACTAGGTGATCAGTTCAGTGGGAGTTAAAATACAACTGCATTTAATGAAGCATAATATCTACAGCCAACACAATACAGACAAAAAAAAAAAAACAAAAACCAAACCAACCGAAAACCTTCAACTTTCTGCAAGGCTCAGTGGAAGGAAGGCTCTACATCATAACTGTGCTACATCCAATTCTGATCAAGCACTAAAATCTATACACTCAAAATGCCAGGATACTGCTCAAAGCGCTTGCTTTGATTGAGTCCTTCCCTCAAACAGAAGAGCAAAATTGATGTCAAACTCTTAAAGAATTCTCTGTTTAAGGAAAAAAAAAAACAAACCAGAACTGCCCACTGAAAGATGGAGGGGGCTGGGGTCCTAGGCTGTGATTTTGTGCTCTATAAAACTTTAAGAGAGAGAAAAAAAAATCCTGATGTTTTGCATACTCGGCAGCATTGCTGCACACATCCAGTTGCCCCATCACACTGAAGATAAACTGGTCACCTGGGGGGATCTAAGCCTCCAGAAAAGTGTGTTTTCTGCTACCGCTGCACTGGGTTTTCATCTTACCTCCGTTACTGGGGACTGCCTCCTAAACAAATCGATGTATAATTGACCTTCGCATGACAAGGGAAAAGCACGACGGTTTATGCCAATGCTCAGAAAGCACCAAGAGTGGTCTGGGTCTGCAAACGCCAAAATGAATGCCAGCAGCTTCGTTACAAAAAAGTTTCACCCCCTCCTCCTACCTTTACAAAGTATTCAGCTCCTGTCCTCTCCAGCTTCATCGTGTATCTACAGAGAAAGCTTTAGCAATTAACAAAAAAAAAAAAAAAACCAAAAAAATAACAAACACAGAACAAATCAAACCACAACTCAAAAGACACTAAAAGCAGCCGTGCCACAGACA